TAGATTTGACAGTATAATTTTGATATTCAGACAGTCTAGGATGATTGATTTGTATGATTCACTTTTTGAAGTACACATAACTCTCGGATTTAAATCCGAAGTTTCCGCATTTATTTAATGATGAAGATTAGAATGATTTCTACCATATTAATAATAATAATAATTATTATTATTATATTAGAGCTTTTGGGCCTTCGGGCCCATCGTCAGTAGGTGAAATAACATAACTTTGAGTAATTATAATAATAAGTAAATAACTAAATGATATAAAATATATTTTTTTTTATTTGTCTATGAATGCTGCAATTATGAAATTATATCTATTAGTATATTTCATAGGACTTGATTTTAGATTCAAAGATGACAGAAATCATTCGAAGCTTCATCATTAAAAATAGTTATTATTCTTATTATTATTATACATATATAGTTTTATTACCACCATTTTCAACAATTAGATAGTCAACTAGATTATGCATACATACATATGTTAGTAAAAATTTATATTTTTTTTCATTCAAATAAAAAAATAAAACATTAAAATAAACACTGCATTATTCTAAAAATTCGTAATTTGAATCTAGAATCAATTCGTATGAAATATATTGGCATGTGTTTATATCAATAATTTCTTTTTCTTTTGTTCTGCAACCAATCAAATCGATGTATGTATACACTTCTTTCGTTCGGCAACGCGAACCAACGAACGAACGAACATTTGGTCGTGGGAGTTGCTCAGCGCATTACCCTCCTTTCAGTAGAGGAAACTATTTTCCGACTGTTGACTCATCTGTCTCTTTATAAAATTTTCATTGATATTGGCTTCTTAAAGTACCTAACTTAAAAGTAAAACGTATATATTATCTTATTTCAAAATAGGATTTTAGCAGGCACCATCGATTTTAACAGTAACATTGGGAAAATGTGATTGGTGTCTTATGGATTCGATTTTTGTATCCCTCTATTTTCTTTTGAATGAAAAAAATAACACTATACAGGCGATTGTGCTTTACATCTCTCTCAGCGAATTTTGATTGGAGTCATGACAAAAAACTGCAATATCTAATTTTTTAATTATCATCATAAAGATATGACATACCGAAACGTGCAACTAGCGAAAAATCTCATCATTTGTTAGGGTGTGGGTGTGGGTCAGTGTCGGTGTAGGTCTTTCCTTCACTCACATCCACACTGATACCCACACTTACACCATTCATGTCAAAACTATGTCTCAAACCAGCAAGCTCTTTTTCTGTAGAGCATTCAATCAAGTTGAGTAATACATTTTACAAAATATTTTCACCCATTATTATTCCATTTGTATGCTGCCATGAAAAAACACAAGTAATGGTTTTCAACTAAAAACATGCCGCATCTAACTTAATAAAAAAGAATCATAAAGTGTACTGTTTCAATGCATTGATTTTCACATGGTAGATGTGTAAATAGACATTAGATGTGTGGATTGCAAAATAAAAATGCGTTCTGAGTCTTTTTGAAAATGAATCATTGCCTTTCGAACTAGGTTGGATGTAGATGTGGATGGGAGCTTGAACCTTCTTTCATGCACACTCACAAACTCACACACTCATAAAAGTATTGATTAGTTTTCTGAGTAAAAAATACGCACATATTGAATCCATTCACGAGAAAAAGTTTCTTTTCTTTTGTAGTATCACAATCGAAGGGCATTGAGAACTGTTGTTGAATTGGATACCCAACCAAAAATGCCACCCTGTGCCTTGATCATTTCGAGGGCTATTTCTTGAAATCGAGGGAAGTAAGATCCAACACAATCCTTAAGAACCAGACAGTCATAGCCTCTATCGTTAGCCTCGCGGATGGTACTATGGACGCAGACTTCGGTTGTCACTCCAGTAACAATCAACTGCTTGATGCTTGCATTTTGCAGGATAAGGTGCAGATCAGTAGCATAGAATGCACCTTTTCCTGGCTTGTCAACTATAATCTCTCCTGGAAGTGGAGAAAGTTCTTGAATGATATCATGTCCTTGTTCGCCTCGTACCAAGATGCGACCCATCGGACCATCATCACCGATACCTATTTTAAGTTGTCCACGGGCTTTCTTGGTCGGCGTAAGATCGGATAAATCCGAACGATGACCTTCACGAGTATGTATAACCAATAGTCCAGACTTTCTCCAGGCTGCCAACAACTTCTGAATAGGTTCTATGGTACAGCGCAGTTGTGACACATCATTACCAAGCATAGAACCGAAGCCGCCATTTTCTAGAAAATCCCGTTGCATATCAATAATGATAAGAGCACAATGCGCAGGAATCAGCTTGAATTGATACGGCTCTGCATCAATAGCCACGACGTCATATTGATTGTTGCTGTATTGAGACATGTCGATAAACTAAAAATATGTTGATCGACATAATTTTTGTGCAATCTATTTCTGAATCATTGGTGTAATTTACATAAACAAGAAATTAACGAATTGGGAATCACGCAGACCAAAAGCAAGTTAGTTATTCCGCAACTCAGCTTAGAACGGTCCTTTTTCATAAATTATGGTCTTGACATAACAACCTGCTTTGTTGATTGACTTTTAGTATGGAAATGATATAAATACGGCTATTTCTTCCACCTATTCTGTCTTTTTTGATATTACGTTTGTTTTTAACTATGATACGCAGGACCATGCCCAGAAGATTCACTACATCCCCTCACAGAACAAAACACTAATTATTAGTTAACTCACGCAATCTAAGCATGGAATGTATAATAACAACTGTCAACGACCATCGATTTGTAATAATAAAAATTATTTAGCCAAACAGGTCACTCTATCTAATTATTGCTGTTTAGCAATGTATCTATGCTATAGGGTGTGAATGCGGATGTGAATGGAGAGAAAACTCATGTCCACATCCGCAAGCGCTCGAAGTATTGGAAAATAACAAATGAGATCTTTGTGACATTCTCTGCCCTCGTACATAGATATTTTTCTGTTATTGTGTTTACTGTATTTTCCGTGGTAGTTCTATGTACATGAAGTGATACATAAGGAACGAGGAAAATACAGTATAGATGCGATTCTTGATAAGAAGAAATATATTAAGGCGTAATTCCATCCACACAAGCATCTCTTCTATCCAAAATCGTCACAATATTGTTTAATGGAACAAGGGACAATGTTTTTTTATATGATTATCTCCGCACCTTTCTGTTTGCTCTGTAGACTGAGTTCTTCTGGAATAAATATGTGCAAAAGAATCTATCGCTTTAAGATTCATTTAAGATGCAGCAAACAAATGTATATTAGATGATCAAAGACGGTATGGACTGCTCAAAATGTATTCACAAATGAAAGTATTATTTCGATTCGTAATTTAAATTCTCACCTTCGTCTCTTCACCTTGCTCGTGAACACTTTCGTCGTCAAATGAAGAATCGAAATTGACTGCCCGTTGTGTTGCGCAAAGAAAAGAAAAACAATATTTTTTCTCTCTCGCTGCTTGTATGAAAAAATAGAAAAAGAAACATTCTTTTCCCATACCGCATGTAGTCAACCCGTACATTATTGCCTTCTTCGTTCTTCCTCTAGTTGTCTGGGATGATTCGCAATTACGATCGTACATCGATACCGTGATTGCACGAATATGGAACCAATCGCATCGGCTACTTCTCATTCGCGAACATAAAGAAAATAAATTTTAAGTGAATTAAAAGTTTTAAAACTTTGTCTGATTTAAATTTAATAATTTTATTTATTTTTCGTAAAAAGAATTAAAATTTACATTCAACTTTTTAAAATTTGATTACTGCGAACAAATATTGAAAGCAAATTGTTTTAAAAGATTTTAATAAAAAGGTATCTTTTTTTTTTTACTAAGCATGCTGCAATTTGTAGATGACGTTAGTTTACGATCAGAGAAATTTTTTAAATTTAGTACCATTGCTGTAATTTGTAGAGGATGTTAGGTTTTAGTTGAATTAAGATTTTCGTTTGGACCTAGCTGTGAAGAATTTCAATGGAAGTCAAAAATAGAATGTACTAGTTGGTTTGTTTTTCTTTTGTCATTGATAAACTAACACTCATCATGCACGAGCAAGGATCGTCGATATGGGCCACAGTGGGCAATTTTCGTATACCAGGCGGACATGCACGTGAAAACGATTTTTTCGTTAACTATCATAAAGTTGTATAGCTTTTTTGATGCAGTCTTTCTAATAGCAAGCTCAAAGAAGTTTTATATCTTCATTTTTATCGGTTTTCTGGAAAACTAATGGGTTTTAGTGAGGGTTTTCGTGAATTAGAAGCTTTTACAGTCTCAATTATTCATCATGAAGTGAGAATTCTTTGAGCACTCGATTTCCAATCACAGTAAACTTAGAGTAAAACTGTAATTGTCGATTCAACATGTGCTTTTTTAACTTTTTTGTTTTTTTTACATATTTTTCTTTTTTTAGATTTTTTTGGGATTTATTCTGTTTTTTTAATTCTTTTAGGTTCTTTTAAGATTTTTTCATATTTTTTTAAATCTTTTTTTAAAACTTTTTTCAGAACTGGCTATTGATTATAAGATAAGTTTATTTTCTATTAAATTTTTTCAATGCTAAAACGGGAAAAGAGGAAAAGACTTTCAAAATTATATACAATTTGATATTAGAATGTCAAATGTGTCGATTCATTTCTGGAGAAATAGATTATGTAGTATTTCATCATCTTCATTCAATGGTTGAAATGTAGTCGTTTGTGTCTATGAATGTATTTGTCGTTTTGTAAATGT